GTGAGGTAATAGTAGTAATTGAAAAAGAAATCCAATTTGCTCAAACATAAACCAAAAAAAATTTTTTTTTCAACTTTTGAAATAATTTATTAATTCCGGTTTTATTATTCATTAAATAGAGGTTTTTGCCTTCGTTTTAATCGAGGAAAGAAAAAAATCGTTATACCGCGAAATTCGTTAAATAAGGGTCCAGCTGTAAATATTTTTGTTCCTTCAGAACAAGGTTACATCCTTATAAACAAAGACAAAAACGTAAATTTGTATTGAATTAAACAAATACAATCTTTATTTGTTACTTTACTATTGCGTATGTGCTCCTATTTAAATTTTTGCTGATTACTACCTAGCAAAATAAAAATACGCGTTAGGAAATAGCCGAGCAAAGATTAAGGCTTAGCAATCTGCTTGTAATATTCTTTGGAACAGTTTCTGGCCTTAATTTAGACATTCATCATGATTATATTCTGGCACAGCCAAAATTCATAACTTAGATAATTGTGTAAAGGAATGCGTAGGTGGGGGGAAAGTAAGCATGACAAAATGCATTGTTCAACTCCTGTAATGTCCTCTTTTGGTGGAAAGACACATATTGCCTCCTACGTTAGTGGGTTATTACTGCTTTCGCTCATTTTCACTCCTTTGGCATTCTTTCTTAATTTTCCTGTGTTTTGATATTTATAGCCAGTGGGATATTTAGAATATTTGTTTGATATTCCTTATACCCCCGAATTTGTGTTCGCCTTATAATGAAATAACTATACTGCGGAGGTGGATAAAACGTGTGAATTCACATAGTAGTCATTAATAAATTGGCTTAAAATATTTCACAAAAATAGTTTTGATTTACATATATTTCTTCAATTTTATTTCATATCTATTTCGATTTTTTCGATCGAAATTGGCAGAACAATCTTCGATGGCATCTTTCACTCTCTACCAGAGGGGTTTTAAGACTTCTTGAAGAAGTCCCGTCGGGCTGTGGTGGGAATCATTAGAACAAACTAAAAGGGTGGGTAGGGGACATCATAAAGATTCAGATTTGGGTAGCAAAGTCAAGGTATCCATTTCGTTCCATGCATGGGACAAAATGTGTTGGATACCACTTGAAGGAATTCGAGTATCATGTTGGGAGTTCGAATCACTAGTGTGGGTCGCTCTCTTTATGCCTATTACCTCGTAATGATTCATATTGTGATGCAAATTAGCAAACATCCGGCGGTCCGGTGCATCTCTCTGTGGGTACCTTTCGTGATACAATTTTTCTGGCTGCTCGAGCATTTCCTTCAGACAATCCGTACGTCAGATGCATATCTACCAGCTCGGTATTTTTAAAACATTCCATACTCCTCTGTGGTTGATGATTGTGATAATGCAGGTCGATTTCCTAAAGTGCTCTTGTGAAAAACGCCGCTTATCGCCGAACGAAGACGTTTCCATGGGTTGCAATGCAACAATGAATCCTTATGATGTCCCCCACCTCGCCTTAAAGTTTGTCCCCATGATCCTGTGACCCCCTGTATACATGTAAAGTTCAACAAAAGCAACCCATGTTAAAATGATGGTGGGAAATTTGTTTTCTGCATTTTAAATTCGCAAAGTTATTAAGTATTTCTTCCAAATCAACTGATAATAATATTTTATTTTCATGGACATGATCATGACGTTAGACATGGTATAATAACGTCATTTTGTCATGAACGATATACCACTGTTGCACTTCGTGATTGTCGTGTCATAATTCGTGATTTTTTGGCAGAACATTCAATGAATACGACTCCATCAACTTCGTATTCATCTGATATGTGACTTTTTACTTATTTCCTTGGAACTATCTCTTCATGGTCATTGTTTAAATGAATTTAAAAAATGGATACAATTCCTGAAGGGTTTCAAAAAACAACTTCAAGGTATGTTTTGAAAGTTTAAAAAACCCTTAATATAAGGGCATTGAAGTTGAAAAAGGTTATTTTGAAGATGATCAATAAATTGAAATTTGTTTTATAACAAAATTCCGGATACTTCTTGATCATAGTAATCTCTCTATCTACTATACTGTTAGAATTAATTGGGACAAGCATTTTTATCTTGTCTGAGTTAGTATGTGATTATTAGTAAAGTCTTGAGCCCCCTCAAATCAGTTATATTTGCATAGAGGTAATGTGATTGATCAACCTTGATTGTAATTTATTCGTTTGATTGTTTTTGGTGTATCAATTATCCAGTTGTTAGCCTTTTAGTGTAGCAGCTGGTGGTTATAAATTTGCGTTCCTTGTAATGCATGTTTAACTTGTTCTGAGATGGATAATACTCTAAGGAAGCGTTCTAAAATAATCACTCTTAATGAAAACACTTCTGTGAATATGAGAGATATAGTTGCGGTAGTTGGTGTGGGCAACTCAAGTGTTTCAAGAACATTTCACAAGATTGCGGAACATTTTCTCCAATAAGAAAAGGAAAATGTGTGCTCAAACGTAAAACTACTCCAAGAACTGATAAAAGTTTAATAAGAAATAGCAAAATAAGTCCTAGACAGATAAGCAAAGACCCTTCGAAGGGTTTATATAAAGATTCATCGTTTAAAAATATTTTTTGGGAGTTTCTTACTTTGATTTTACTTCAGATTCTTTTTTAAAGTTTTTAATGAATTTAAAATTCACATCTCCAACTTACTTAATTGGGAAATTTTTTAAGTCTTATATCCACGAACGAACTTTTCATCTTGAAAATACTAGACGGCAGTTTTATCAATATTTATAGTAATTACCAAATTCAGCAATCCATAACATTGAACAGTTTATTTTTTTCTCCATAAAATGCTACGAAATAAGGAAGAATCGAAAGAATAAATTCATGAATGTCTGTATTTGCCGCAGTTAACAGAATTTTTATTTCGTACAATTTAAATGTTTTTCAATTCCTACTATTATTTCACAATCTCCCTATTTATATCTTGTTCAAATTTTCAATCGTTAATAAAATACTTTTTATTCATCCATTCAACTTCAAATACATCTTTTAAAACTTGTAGTGGATGACACTTGATGTTAATAAAATTTTTTCAGATCTTAGTTCATTAGTTAAACTTAATTATAGAATAAATAGTAGCAAACAAAAATAATAGTCCAACACCCTTTATAAAAAGGAAAATCGCTATTTGTGTCCCTGTAGCGCAATGGATAGCGCGTTGGACTTCTAATCCAAAGGTAGTGGATTCGAATTCTACCTGGAATTACCCAATGTGATTTATGAATAAATAAATAGTAACAAAAATAATAGTCCAACACCCTATATAGAAAGGAAAATGGAAAATTGCAAGGAAAATCGCTTTCTATTTTGCCACTTAATATTGTTATTCTGTCTTATGTATATGTTACCGTTAAAGCTTGAAATCTGTTATTTAATAGTATAACAATGTATCTTATGAAGTAACTAGACAAGTCATTTAAAGAATATAAGATTACTGAATTCTTTGATTTAACTAGGTATTCTACAGAATAACGATTACTTGATTGTTAAAGTATGAAATACGGAATAAAACGATTTTACTTCACTGTAGCGCAATGGATAGCGCGTTGGACTTCTAATCCAAAGGTAGTGGATAATTTTACCTCGGCCCGCTGGGGGAGGGGAAGGACGTTGATTGTTTATATTAATAATTTTATTTTAATTGCATTTAAACGTGCCTTCAGAATAATAGCTATACCAAAAAAATGAATATAAAGTGATTTAACAAGGAATATAAAGTGATTTTCATAAAAATTAGCCCAAACCCAAGAAAAATATGCCGCTGTAAACAAAATAGAAATAATTTAATGTTTCTTGTGTTGACCAGAAGTATTTGACCCCCGGACCGGGGGTTGGACACCTCTGCTCTAGATATCAGTTCAGTACATGCCAGCGAGAATTAATTTCCATTCAAGAAGTTTTAAATATATTGACACAACGCTTCTATCTGTTGCAACATCTCAAAGTTGCGGTACTGGACAAGGATTTAAAAAGTGCTCGTGTAAAAAAAATGTGTAATTCACTAAACAGTGTACTTGTTTCAAAAATAATAAGCAGTGTAATCCAAAATGTCATCACAGCAATCATTGCTCTAATAAATAATGAAAAGTAAAATAAAGGTATCTCATAAAATATTTTAATTAATATTCTCTTACATTTTTGGTTTAAAAAGTTTACACAATGTTTTTATGAAGCAACACTTTTTCTTCCCAGCATGTATTTTTGTTGATAACATTTAAATTTAATCTGTTTTTATAATATATTCTTTTCTCCCCTTTTCTGTTTAACTAATAGTAATATGGGCAATATAAGAAATTATATCGTCGACCTAATTATCAGACTGCGTAACTCCACCAGTGTAACTGATTTGATATAGGAGTGCAACGCGCCAAGCGCTTTTTGGAGCGATTCCTTAATCCTTTTGTTTTGTCTACGCCATGCCTCAGTGCACGCTCCGCTTTTAATTTATTCCTCGATCAGTGTATAATCACTACTTTTTTTATTTCATAATAAAACTAGATTTCGAAGGAAGAGGTGGTGGCAAGATTTTAACATAAAATAAATACAACAGAAAGTAATATTAATGTATTACACTTCCAGATATAAATTATTTATACTATTTTCAGCGTTCATTACACAAAATTTGTAATAATGAGTTACTTTTGCTGAGCAGAGACCCCGCGGAATAAAAAACCAAAACAAAAAATTAACACTAATATACGTTATCCCCATGGCAACCACATTATCTCACGATAAAAATATCAAAGTAAACCATATTGTAATATTATCGCTTATCTTGGCGAACATAAACAACAACTTGGCGCCTAGCCCTACTGTATCAAATTAGCATCCCAGATGGAGTTACGCAGTCTGATAATTAGACAGACGATATCATCTCTGCATTCTCGAATTATTTATATATTCATCCTCAAAAGGGATAAAATGTATTTTTGAGAGATTTTAACTATTTATGATCAATTAATTAATAAAACATCTTTGAAATTGTTTATTTTTCACTTTAACGGTTTATCCTTAGTTATTTCATAGAATAACTAAGAAATATAGGAAATTGTTCATCTATTATATACTTTTTTTTTAACTAACTAGTTTTGTTATTTTATGAAATACCTAGTTATTCTATGAAATAACTGAATTATGCACTTTAACGGTAACATATTTATATTAATTGTAATTAATAAAAAAAAATGTGCGTGTATCAGTGTGATCTCGCAGTAGAAGTTAACTTCTTGGTCTTATAAATGTATTGAATTGTATGATTAAGTTTCATTTTAAAGTAATCTTAAAATAATTAACAAATTTATTAATATTATTATCATATTTCGAACTGTATTTAAATAAATAATTTGGATGGAAAAGGTATAAGTATAAACAAAATTTTCATTTTCAATACATAATACTAAACAAAATTTTACTGCATATATTTATAGAAAAGTGTCATCATTATTAGTCTATTTCCATTATGCTTATGTGTGTTTTTGTACATACTTTTGTTATCAAAGGCTTGTGGTAACTAAAATAAGAAATGTAGGTTTTGCACTCAATATCATTTAAGAATCTTGAAAACACTGCATCAATCGTAGTATTTGATTTTGTCGTTGATATTATTCTGTTGTTTTGTAGAGATAAGGCGAAATTATCTTTTAAAAATTCAATCAATTGTAGAGATTTGTCTAAAGCAAAAAATTGACATTAAAATCTTCATTTAAAATCATGTATTTTGTCATAATTTTTATTAAGTAAAGCAGAACCTCTTGATGTATATGGTAATAATGATTGATAAAGGAACTCCATAGAGTCATTCAACTTTTTGTTCGGAGTAATATATACTGCTACAATTATAATTTTTTGCCCATTATCTATTCCGACAAGAACAAATCCCCCACTGAAGATTGTATGGTACCATAAATATCGGATTGACTGACAGAAAAATCCGTGGATGGAGTTATAATGTTAACAGCATCGCTAGAAATTTGATATATCGCAATTCCTCCTACTCTCGTATTTGGTCGTTTATACTTCACAATACAGTTGAAATTAGGAATATATGTATCACTTTCATTGTCCAGCCAAGTTTTTGATAAAACTAAGATATTTGAATTTTTTACTACTAACTCTTGTAAGTCTAGAGCGTGAACTGTAAGACTTCGGCAATTAAAAGTAAAAGTCGAAAAGCCTTGTCTGTTTGTTATGAAATTATTCAAATCTTCATTGATAGTTTGTGGTTTGTTCAAAAAAAGTCGCTTAAGGGGTCTCAGGGGTGTCAAATTTCTCTAGAGGTCTGAAAATATAAACAATTTTCAAACAGGTATAATTCTTTTAAATTTAAATAAAATGATTCGAATCCTTTACACATTATTTATAAAGGAATGGGGCTTCAGAAAAGTATAAAATGTTTAAAATATAATAATTTTAAAAATCACTCATAAGTATATGAAAATTCTATAATAAATATTAAGTATTTTTTTGCGTTGCACACGCTATTTTCTAAAATAGTTACCTTTGATGTATAAAGTTTTATAGAATTATAAAATGCATCATACTTTTTAAACCCTACCTAATTTTAGTATTATATATCTTTTGTATTTCAAAATATTTGTAAGATATTGCAATTTTTTCAATATTTTTTAAAAATGTATTTTTTTATTTATTAAAATATGTAAATTATTCTATTTATACAAAAATAGCTACAGTGTAATAAAAATACATTAAACCTCATAAATAAACTTATAAGGGGAAGTAATTAAAGCTACTAATTTAGAAAAATAGCATGAGCGATGTAAAACTTAATAAATATTTCTTATAGAAAAGTTTCTTATTTTCATATGCTTATAATTTTTTAAATTATGATTATATTTTAAACATTTTATACTTTTCTGAAGCCCCATTCCTTTATAAATAATGTGTAAGAGATTCGAATTATTTAATTTAAATTTAAAAGAATTATACCTGTTTGAAAATTGTTTATATTTTCAGACTTCCAGAGAAATTTAACGCGCATGAGACCCCTTAAATTTCTCTTGCAAATCAATTGTTGATGACGATCGTCTTCGACAATGGTAGTAGAATATTTTATCATTATCTTTTCTCGTAATATATAATCCTTCAATATTCGTCACACGTGATAAAGCAACGTATAATAATGATTGAGAATGACGTCGATAGTATTAGTAAACAATTTCTGAGTATGTATTACCTTGAGATTTATGAATTGTTGTAGCACATGCACACACTAACGGAACATGCGTACGCTTAACAAATATTGTATTGTTATTATTGAACGGAATAGTGGAAGATCTCAGTACGATTGGTATTGGACGTTAATTTCTGCTGCGTAACCTGTTGCTTTGCGTCTTAATTTTTTACCTATTTGAGGCAAATCTGGAAACTCAAGCCATATTGTCTTAACTAATCCTTCATAATTAGTTTCTACATGAATTAGCTTTCAAACTGCACCATTTGCCAATCCATCTATCACATCAATGTTTGTGGTAATCATGTAATAAAATATTTTTCACATAAACTGTTTGATAAGGCAATCTATTTGTATCAATTAATGACATCTTACGTAATTTTTGACGTACGAAAGTTTCTTGTTCTTTTGAAGTATAACCAATATATATATATATATATTGCAGTTGAAGTTATTCTGTCCTCATATGCATTCAATATTTTATTGTTATACTCATTGACGGAATTGTTAGTGTTGAATAATCGTATACCTTGAGGAGACACCTTGCTTCAGCTTCTTTCACAGTACAAAAACGAGACTCAATTAGTTTCTTCCATTTCATTCAGTTGTTCGTCGTTTCCAATTTCTGTGAGTATAGAAGAAAATTGTTGATTCGCTTGACGCATGATTTCATTTAGTCCAGAAAATTTTAGATTTTGCCGTAAAATCTGTCAAACAATGGTCTGTTTATGTTGCTTATGCATACCACTGAATACGAAAATCTAAAGCTAACCCTAACCATTTCTTAGTCACGTGGGATGGACACATCAGTGAAAGAATGCAATCCTGTCTTTAAACAAGCTTGACAAAACCCCGATTCGTGAGAAAGGGAGAGATAACATTCAAACTTTGTGCATAAAGAAGGTTGGGGCTGAGGTAGCTCTGTGGTTAAGGTATCGGATCATGGCAGGCATGTCATGAGTTCAAGCCCAGTACCTCTAGAGACCCACCATGTAGGGGAGCGATGCACGTTAAATCGGTCGAGAGCTCAAACGTTCTCTCGTCGGTGTGGTGTGGTAGTTAGGAGAAGGGGTGCCAGCTCACGTGTCGTCCTAGTCACTTGACCATGGTTCAAGATGACGTGGTCCGTCGCCAAAAGCCCTCGTGTAGCTGAACAGTGCGGTGTTAATATTCACTCACTTCCTCACATAAAGAGGGTTGCCAATTTGGCGCGAAACTGATTTCGTCGCCAAACTCTTGGCTTTTCCTATAATTTCGCTTTTTATTAAAGATTTAATTTTTTTGAAGTCATAATTTTTAAGTTAATGGCTTACAATTCCACACATCAATTGCAAACAACGGTAATTTTTAAACAAAAAATATAAGAATATTACTTTAGTAAAAAATTGTAGTAAAAAGAGGCTAATAGACGAAAAA